TTTTTCTCTTGGGTCCTGATTGTCTCTATTTCTTGCCATAAATCGTCCCACACTGTTTGTCCTCAGTGTTGGGTCCTGATTGTCTCTTTTTCTCTGTTTGTTTTTAAGACAGAGTCTCACTCTGTCACCTGGGTAGAGTGCCATGATGTCACAACTCACGTCAACCTCAAACTCCTGGGCTTAAGTGAACCTCCTGCCTCAACCTCCCCAGTAGCTGGGACTACAGGAGATCATCACTACGCCCGGCTAGTTTTTCTACTTTTAGTAGAGATGGGGTCTTGCTCTAGCTCACTGGTCTTGAACTCATGAACTCAAGCAATCCCCCTGCCTCAGACTCCCAGAGTACTGGGATTACAGACAGGAGCCACCGCACCTGGCATTGGATCCCTACTGTCAATACCAGGAAAACAGGAAAAGTCCTTCTAAACATCTTTGTCAGGCTTATGTGACCTAGTGTGTCCTGATCTTTCTGCTGGGGTCACCTCAGTGGTCCTGCTTCCTTCCCTCTAATAGTGCTCCCTTGGCAATAAACATGTCAGCAGTCTCTGGACTGATTCGTGACTTGCTCTCTCTCTTTCCTCTAAACCTCTGTGCACAGCAGTCCCTTTCCCATCAGTAAGCTTCCTATTCCTTTGCCCAGCACATTCTCACTTAGCCTTCTGGACCAATGCCTGGATGGTCCAGGCTGCCAGTCACCTCTGCACTGCCTTCTCCGGGAACCCGCCTGGACTACTCTTTCTTCCAGCCACCCTCGGTGTAGAGGACCCGGGCACCCCAGCTCCTCTGCTCTCTTTATTGAGCGTTTATCACACGGTACTTGTGTCCGAGGCGGAAAGCTGTCTACCAAAATGCATTCTCTATTCTACACCACGGGGCTGTTACTAGAAAGCACCTACCAAACTGGTCCCCACTTTCCACTCCCTCTTCCAAACAGATGTGGACATCCAAGTAGCTCCTGGGAAAGGAATGTGAGCAAGGTGATGTGTGTCACTTCCACAAAAGGGTGTTGTTTGTTTGTTTTTTGGAGATAGAGTCTTGTTCTGTGGCTCAGGCTACAGTGCTGTGGAGTCATTGTAGTTACAAAAGCCTCAAACTCGTGGGCTTGAGCAATCCTGCCTTAGCTTCCTAAATGGTTGGGACTATAGGCCTACACTACCACACCTGCCTAATTTTTCTGGGTTTTTTTGTTTTTTTGTTTGTTTTGTTTTTTTAAATATAGATGGGGTCTTGTTATGTTGTTCAACCTGGGCTTGAACTCCTGACTTCAAGGGATACTGTAGCCTCAGCCTCCCAAAGTTCTGGGATTACAGGTATGAGCCACCATGCCCAGCCCATACCAAAGCTTTTAAGAAGTAGGTGTGCCATCTCCACGATGTCATTGTTCCTGCTGTCAGCTGTGTTTACACAATGACAAGATTCTAGGGGATGTTGCTGTCACAGGTGGACAGAGCCCAGTACCCTGGATCAATATGGCGGGAAGCCACCTGCTTCTACATGTCTCTGTTTGGGACATAATTTCCTGAGTCCTATTTGTTACAGCAGCTAGTGCTGCCTTACCTAACACAGTTTCTTCTCAGTGTTTACTTACATCTCCTCACTAGACGAGTGGTAAAGTAGCTCTTTAGGTGAAAGGAGAGGCTCACGGGTCAGGGGACCTAAGAGCAGTGACTGTGTGACTGATTCAGCAAATACTCCCTGAGTACTTATGATATTCCAGGCGTTGGAGTGACAGCAACAAATACACAGACAAGGTCCTTGCTCCATGGGGCTGAAATTATAGGACCAGAAACACTGAACATGTGAACACCTAAATACAGAGGATCATTTCCACAGAACATGTAACTGTGTAGCAAACAAGGTAGTAGGCTAAAGAGTAACTGGGGAGGCTCGGCGCCTGTGGCTCAAGCGGCTAAGGC